AACAGCAATGAAAACAACAATAAGCCAAAACCGGCTCTAAATTGTCTTATTCATGCTGAGTAATTAATGCTCTGAGACACTTTGTTTATTATTATTTATTACAAATAAAAATATTAAAAAAAAAAAAAATAACAACAAAATGCTGAAATACTCAATGGGCAGAGTCTTAACGGCCAACGTTTATTCTAAACGAAAAAGAAGCAAACAAAAATACAAGTGTTTGGCGCTTTGTTGAAATTTGAAATATTTTAAGAGCGCTACAGTGGAGTGGATTTTTTTATTGTATTATTTTTTAGTAATATAATTGTTCAATTTTCTGTTGGTTTTATATTGTTATTTAAAATTTTTTTTTTGCTTATTTATATAATTTTCAATTTTTATTTCCGCACCTTTTTGGTGCTTGTAATTTTGTTATTTTTTTTAATTATTTTTTTTTTTTGTATTTTTGAAACAAATTGAATTTAATAAAATTTAAAATATAATTATTGTTATTGCTTTTTTTCTTATTCTTACTATATCCGAATAAATAAATATTGGATGAGTGCATAAGTTCGTGCCCGATTCCGCTGGATGACGTTCGAATCGTTTGAGAGTGGCGCTCGTGAAAGAAATATATACATATTATACAATATATCGTTGGAACGGTGTCAGTCCGAACTGTAAATCCAGCGTGATCTATTTTGAGCTCTTGTCAGCTGGAGAAACGATCACTGCCAACAAGTATTGTCAGCAATTGGTCGAATAGAAGAAAGCAATTGATGAAAAACGTCCGATTTTGGCCAATCGCAAAAGAGTTCTTTTCCATCATGACAACGCCAGGCCACAAGAAGATGAATTGGGAAATCATGCCGCATCCCCCATATTGACCCGACATTGCACCTTCTGATTATCATTTGTTTCGATCGCTGCAGAACAATTTGAATGGAAAAAAATTTAAAAATGTGAAAGACGTAAAAACCACCTTGACACCTTTTTCAACGAGAAACCGCGCGATTTCTATGAATCAGGCATCCGTAAATTGGTTGAACGTTGGGAGTGGATTGTTGAACATGATGGCGAAAACATAATTGATTAATAAAAGCGCTTTCTTCAAAAATTTTCAATTTTAGTTTGCACTTGAAATCGGGCACGAACTTATGCACTCGTCCAATAATATGAATTTGTAATCCTTTTGTCTTTTTTGAAATCATAGTATATTAAAGAAATTTTTTTTTTAATATCCATATATATTATAATATATTATTAAAAATTCGAAAGAGTTTTTTCTTTTCTGTAGAAGGCTTATATGCAGTTCTTAAGTTCATTTTTGAGACTTTTCTCAAATGAAAAGAAAATTGTAGTAGAAGCGTTAAGATAAACAACCCTACCGCCAGCAGCTAGTGGAAAATAACAAATTAAATTTATGTTCTAGCCAACACGAGACCAAAGGACGTTATATTCGAAACGAAGTCTGCTTCAGGTGACACTGGTGATTACTTACTTTCCTTAAGAAAACATTTGTTGAAATACACATTTTGTCAAGTTCGCACGGGTTATCACATTCGTTTTTTTACGAAAAGGGGAACATTTATCGAAAAAGGGTATGACGTTAACGATTATCTAACTTACCACTCAAAGTTCACGTGACAGCAAACATTTTCTTAACCCTGAACTTTAATGCTTTTTATATTATTTACTCATTATTTTTTCCTTATGAAGGTCTAGTAAAAATTTATCCATTATTTGCGCATTAAATTAAAAGCTATATTTACTGTAGTTTGAATTATCCAATTTGTGTCAAATATGCACCGATAATCTTTTGCTATTTTGAAGCCAATGAGTATCGACAAAAAATCGATCGATTTTTAGGCTATGCTTGAATGAAATTTTTTATCAGCCAAATCATTTGCCATGAAGAGGAACAGATGAAAACCACTTGGTGCGAGAGCCAAACTAAAAGGTGGATGCGTAAGAACCTGCCAAGCAAACTTGCGTGCCTTCTGGTCAGTCACAATCGATAAGTGTCCACTACTGTTGATCAAAGCTGAGCTTGAGCCGAATTAAGGCTTTAGCCGTAAGTTAGTCGATTTTTTTGTTGCCAACCCCACAAATCATACCAGAAACCCATTTTGGTCATCAATACTGGCTTGGAGTGCGTTTTTGGCATCTCACTGTCCTTTAAGCACAACCATTTTTGTAATTGAGGCATTTTTCATCACCAATCAAGATCCATTTCAGAAATTGGTCGATTTATTTACGGCTCAGCAGCGATTCTCAGTCTCGTTAACTCATGTGGCACCCATACCACGGGTTTCAGTGTGCAGCCAGACTCTTTTAAGTGGTTCCAAGTTGGTTGTTTGGGCAACTTTTAGCTCCTTGCCAATCGAAACAGTGCTCGCATAACTTCCTGTTGCCTCTTTTTGACATGCGCTCAACAATATTGAGTTAAATGATTAATACTTCCCGTGCTATCTTTTTTTAGTACAAAATATCAACTTTGTAATGCCATCCAGCGTAAGCCCAACGTACTTATAGAACGTAAGATACAGATCACTAAAGCCTTGCATGGCAAAATTAATGGATTACTTTTTACTCCACCGGTTATGAAGCGCCAATAATATAATAGTAGACAAATTTTCTTTAAAAAAATCTTGCCAATACCAAAAACCACAGGCACAGGCTTCAATAAACCATTAATGTGTTTAACTTGTTGCCTGCCCAGCCAGCTGTCTATATACCAATTGGCAATTAATTGGGGTAAAAATTATATTCGAACATTACATATAGTACATACAGCCTTCTGTTTAATATAATACTCGTATCTACAAGCTCATAACTGGGTGTTAAATATGCACAAGTATGCAAAATTTCCCTGTAGGAAAATTTACTTCATTTAAATTTTTCCCTATAAAAAGAAAATTTCTAACAAAAATTATTTTCCTATAAGAAAGTAAGAAAAGTTGTCTCTAAACGGCTTAGAGAGGCTAACTTGTGTGAATTTTTTTTCTTTGTATTTCAACTGGCCAATGAGGCCATCATTTGACCCCAGTTGGCACCAAATGTTGGCACACACTACCAATCATTCGGCTACAACGGCATGGATTAGGTTGAATTGGCTGCATCAGCATACTTAGACCAAGATACTGCTATATTATGATACCTTTGAGTAAACTAATGGCCTCACTCGCAAGTCAAACCAAGTCTCTCTATATTGCCTACTTAGAGTTTACAACGCACTCTGTCAATTCGCTATAACGGAAGCGCCTGCTCTATTAAACTGCAAAAGTCTTTTCATGGTACAACTAAAACCAAACTCCCTGTACGAGTAGACCAGCGTAATAGAAGATGCCCTTTAAAATGTACCATAATTGTAGATATCTCTTTTCTTGTAAGTTATGATCTGCTCTTAACCATGCTAACCTCATTATCTTGGTCACATTGCAACAATTGAGACTCATCCATCCCAAGTCGCTTTGAACAACTCTCCCATAGTGAGCCTCCAAGTGAAGAGCGGCATGCAAAACACCTTCCCGATGTCAAAAGTGAATGCGAAGTGCTCTTCCTTGCAAGCTCTCGCTACTCGGTACGTTACCGTGTTCATGCATTCATATTAGGTTGACAGAGAGCTATTTTGCCAACACGTTACTTGAGCTGTGACAGTTCTCTACTGCTTTGGATTTTATTCATACTAATACCAGTGTTCTTAATGAGAGTACTACCCCACCTTTCAGTGGAAAATATAACTTTCTACTTGATTTTTTTTTTTTTTTTTTGAACAGTAGAAAATTTTTCCATGATCTAATCAAGGAATGCGCATACTTTCATATGTTTAGAACTGTAAAAGTTTTTTTGGCTCTCTCTCTCTCTCTCTCTCTTTAACTATTTATCTTTCTACTAAGTTAAAAAAGATGTTGTCGTGCAATATTATATAATAAATATATAAAACATTGTAGCATATTTTTCGTCTCCCTCTCTAGCCGTAAAGTAGAGCTCTCTAGTATTTATTCTTTTGAATGCTCAAACCTTTGAGCAGCGCTTAATATGAAATTTGGTGGAATCTCATTAATTATTCAATTAAATAAATTACATACAAATATTCTTAAGCGTAAACGTTTTTGAAAAAAAAGAATCCTAGTTATTAGGTTAACCATTTCCTGCAGGGCATTTTGCTCTCATTCATTATGACATACTGCTCACTACACGCCATGTTATGTACATGGAAATCTGCGGTATTTATTTATATGAATATTACGTCTGTTTCAAAGCACAATTGATTATTGGCATTGACGACGCGATGCCTTGAGGCGAGCAAAGCAAAAAACCGAAAAGACAAAAAATAAACATAAAAATAAAAAAACAGCAGTCAAATCATGTGGAAGCAGATTCGTGTAGCCGATAAGCCAAAAGCGCGCGCAGATTAAGCCGCAACTGACTGACTGACTCAATAGCTGAGTGACTCGCCAAATGGGTGACTCGTTGAACTCGCCGTGTGGCTGTGGCTGCACGACATGCTGCATGCGAGCTCTGCTTCCACTCGCCGCCAAAGCACATGAAAACTAAAATCAATTTTAATGGCTTGTTCTTTTAAATTAAATAATTCACTTTTGTTTTCATTGCAATGCGAGTCGCTGTTAAAACAATTATTTCTCCAATTTATTTTTGGGCAAGGTGGATTGTGTGCCAGTTCCGGTTCTTGGTGGTTAAAATTATGTGCAATATTAATATTATTTTTTAATTAAAAGAGAAATAATTAAACTCGCTGGCCTGTGACTCTAAATGAGTACATGAAGATCGTGTTTATGGTTTTAGAGTAAAAAAAAATACTATTTTTTTAAAAATCGTAGCAAATTTAAATAAATTTAATGTTTTTTTTTTTTGCTTCCATACAAAGCCAATTTTGCTAATTAAATATTTCTTAGTGTTTTTGTTCTAATTATTTTTTAATTTTTATTATTATTATTATTAGTTATTATGTTTTGTTTCAATTTTTCTTTGATTTTCTTTTCATTTCATTCGCACAGATTACGTCAGGAAAGCGAAATGCTGTCACGTCAATCCTCCCACCATTGGTCGCAGAACGACTTATCCTCCGTGTCATGCGCATCGATGGCGCCCTCGCCCACGCCTCTATTGCTCTCCACTTTGAGTCGTGACGTCACACTTACAGGCAGCGGCAGCGGTAACAATAGTAGCGGTAATCAGCAACAGCACAATAATAGTTCGGAGAGTACTTCGTCGACTGAGACGCTCAAGTGGTTGGGTTCCATGAGCGATGTGTCGGAGGCCAGCCATGCTACGGGTTATTCAGCCATCTCAGAATCGGGTAAGTTTGGGGCGAGAATAAAAGTGGGTAGAAAGAGAAATCAATTTAAGAACCTTGGTTAGAGTTTTGTTCACATTCGTCAACTAAAGAAAGGAGAGAAGACAAACACATAAAAGCTCGCACTTAAATCTATTACCTGGTTAGTCTGAGAGCTTTGCCAAGTTTTCCTCTTCAATTGTTCTTTCCTCTGAATAAGTTTTTAATTCTGCTCTTTGGTTAGGTACTCATTATGGAAGCGCTGCCACCAGGTCCTACACTCGCTCTTGAAGCTGTGCTTAATTTTATCTCATTAGAACTGTGATGCAAATTTCATGCTACATATCAACAATTCCAGTGCAAGATACTCCCAAATACTAAAATATATATCGTTCTGCGAAGAGGTGAACTAAACCACCTCAGATTTCTGTTTTGACAGTACCGACAGTACACTGTAAGATAAAAGTCCGTTGCCAACTTAACCCAGGGCTTAAAACACGACGGCAGGTGGGATTGTAGATTTCTGTTAGTATCACTCGCAATTGATATGAAGAAAAGGCGTCTAGTCTAGTCTAGTCTAGTCTTTCAAGTAGCTGCTCTGTAGTTGAGCTAATTTTGCAGTGTTAACTAAATCTGTCCCAGCCATTTCTGACATTAAAGCTGTCACTAAGTCCCTTCCACCGCCCTTCGAAGGTGGCAGTTACATCTAACAAAATCTTGAGAAAAGTTTGAACTGTATACCGATGTTATGGTCCTAGGATACGGACGAGCTAGCTGAAATTAGAACAGTCCTAACTACTATAAATTTTGCACACCTCATGGGCTTACATCTTTCCTCGGTAAAATATATGTACTGTTTGGCACACACGTGTGTATTGGGATATGAAAACACATACAAGGTAACCTGACAGATCTGGCTATTGGATGAAGAGAAGAGAGAAGCATCCTTATAAACATCGTTACCACCGGATACAGGATGATAGGGAATCACGCTAGAAGGATGGCTTGCTTCTCCAACGACTTCGGTTGCAACTGCAGGCGGGACACAGCTGAGAAGAAGTCGTAAGAGCATTAACCCCACCACTGTGAAGCCCTCAGTGTAGCCTGACATCGTTTTCTCGGATATTGTTTTGTTTTTCTCGGTTGCCTTGCCAAACTTGCTTCAGTAAGTGAAAGCGAACGCAATAAATGGTTTATATATCTAGAAAGGTGAGCGAAACCTCTTTTCACAGGCCTACCACCTTAGGTATCACAATGAGCCGGCAGGCATGAGCACGTTAGATCAAGGTTTCTTCATCAGATACCCTCAGTAGCTAATTAACTAACTAGGTCGTAGAACCTTCCGAGCTTTCTATCCGGTGAGTTCTGGAAATTTTTAAACATTGTAGGTGGACATGGTTGAAGAATTCGTAGGTTTGATTATTCCCAACTGCACTCCAATTCTATGAAACCCACAAAAAATAAATCGGAGCTCGCAGTCGGTGGCTCATTTACACCGTTCAGTTGTGGTCAGAGTTACTTTGCAATAGTAGAACGAGAGTAGCGTCCAGAATTTGAAATTTTTTTATTAACTACAGGGCCACAGTAGTCGAGTGGTTAGCAATGCGTGCTGCCATGGGGAGTTCCATATGTTCAAATTCTGAATGGAACAATATCTAAAGTTATAGAAATTGGCAAGAAAATGTCAACGCCACCGAGTGTATTTCTGTCAAAAAAATCTCACTCGGAGACCGCTCGGAACAAGCTGCAGGAGCCTCAGTTTGTTGAAACCATATATCGCGGTACAAATTATAGTAGTGAATCGGTTACGCTGATCCTTAGTTTTTAATTATTTGTAGAATTACAGGGAAAGTTTAAGCGTGTCTACTCAATAAAATCGTATTTATGTTTCGATTTACTAGACACTTTTCCTCAGCGAAATATAAACTACTTTATTTTTAAAGGGAGGATCACAGATCAAAAGATCGATGCAAATATTTATGTTATTAGTATCCAGCGACTGTGGTCTGTTTTGTATTCGACGAAACAGTTGCCAGCGTATGGCCGTATGTTCTAGCGGGTATAAAAGATTACTTTTTAACTCCCGCATCTTTCCCTTACTGCTCCACCTGAGAACTTAGTCTATAAATTTACCACCAAAAACGCTGCGATCTTTTTGGCAAATTCATATAATCTCTTTAACTTGCTTAACAAATCCTCTTAGTGGGTGTGGCGTGTGCGTAAATGCGACGGTGATGAGATCAGCGTGTGTTCAACAGACGGACCGAGCAGCGCAGCATCGATAATTGGACGTTTTCGTAATAATTTTTCAATCATTTAACGGTTTAGATTTACCACAGTTTTTTTGCATTTTTCTTCGATCCTTTTACTTTGCTCTTATTCGCACTTAATTTTATTGTAATTTTATTTTTTGCGAGCAACTCTGTGCGGCTGTCATGATTAATGATTGCCATGAGGGCGGGAAAAAAAATAAAAATAATAAAACTAAGAACTTTATACTTTATATATATATTACATATAATAGGCGTTTTGTAACCGCTGTAGCGTTTTTCCGGCCGAGCTCCTCCACCAATTTTTGGTTTGGCGTCTTGAGGTTTTTGCAACAGATGGAGGAACCTACAGTTTATACTCCGAGAGATTTTCTTTTACGAAAAGCTTTTGTTTCATGTCAGAAGTACTCTTAGAGGGGTTGATATTCCCTACCGACGGGTGACCGCAATTTAACTTAATTTAAATTAATTAATTAATTAATTTTTTATTTAAATTAATTTTCCACAACTTTGGATGTTGGTGGCACCGGGATATGAACCCGAACCTTTCGAATGTCAGTACGCATTGCTAACCACTCGACTACCGTGGCCGCAAGAACTTTTTTGGTTTGAGAAAAAAATTTGTATATTATACTTTGTATATTATATTATTTTTTAAATTAATTTTCGTTTGCCTTTTTCGCAACTTTTTTTCCCCAAAAAAAAAAAAAAAAAAAAAAAAAAAAAAAAAAAAAAATCTTCACCTCATCAATCGCTGCTTGAATTGATCGATAGAAGGATTGCACGATTTTCGACCACGTCCAAGTATGCGCACGGGTCAATGGTAATGGTATTACATCATATTCACACACACACACACACATCCACATATACTCTCAAATACACACAAGTGTATGAATAATTGCCAAAAAGTAGATTTTGTCGTTTCTCAGCGCAATTATGTTGCACAACACTTTCGCACGCACATCAATAATAAAAAAAAAATAAAAAGTAATTGCGCGTGGGGTGGTAATTAACGGTATCTTCGAGAAAAATTTCCATTGCTTTGAACGCGTAAACATCTGCCGCACCTTAACTTAATTTCGTTGAATAAAGTACAAAACTGTTTTGTTGTAAAAATAAATAAATAATTTAAAAATAAAGCAAAATCGATTTGTGTATCTTCTTTTTTTTTTTTTTGGTTTAGTTAGCCAAAGTAACGGTATTTTTTTTAATGCTTCTTCTTTGCTTAGGCGCGAAATTTGGTTTAGCTTAGACCAAATACATGTAGCTTACATTCATTTCCAGTTCACTCCCAGCCAGCTCAGTTGGTATCATGTCAGGGCTTAGGGCATCGTTCGTTTGTGCGATTCATGTGCTACAGTTCTAATTGGTTCTTTGCCTTTTCTACATATATACATACATACATACATACATACATACATACATACATGGTTAGCGCAAATTCTAATTGATTTTTCCTCGCCTTGTGGGAAAGAATTTTATTTTTATTTTCCAACATTTTTATCCATTTCAAATTAATTTTTTTATTTTTTAGTTTTACTCAAGATCACTTTGTTGTGATCGCTGAATTGTTAGGAGTGTTGGAAAGAAATAGAATAGTTGTTGGCTATTAAGTTTAATTTGTTGTCTGCAAACCTGATTAAGTTCATTGAAGACAGTTTATTTTCTTATACAAAATTAATGGCTGAGAAAATTGGTCAAATCGTTTAACAAATCGCTTAACGGTAATGTAAGTCATGAGGTAACCGACTCAGTGAATGCTCATACTCTTCAGTGTTCTTAAAAAAAAAATGTATTTGATTTAATTAAGAAGTAAAGGAATTCAACATCACATTAGCGGACAAGGAGTGGCAATCTGTCCACTTGAGTTTCCCACCTGGGCGGTCTCACGTCGTTTCGATGCTCTGTGTTAAACACAGTTCCTTCTAGCACGATGTGGATCACCGCTTATTATAGGACCTTCCATGCGCAGTTGTCACTTATGACGGCGATTTCAAGCTATCTGGTGTTCAACTATTGTGTAAGCTATACACCTGAATACAAACATCCACCATCGTTTAGTTGGCAAGATGAATTGATTTATTCTCAACCAACTTTCTGATGAGACTGAGCTTTGAATGTCCCACTTTGCATTCAATGGCAAGTGCCAAAGCACGCAAAAAGCTGCGCTACGCGTTGAGGTGAAACTTCAAAGTAACATCGGCTTGATGTATGATTGCTTCGAAACCGACAACAGCAGTAATTAGACTTCAATAGACGTTGAATAAAACTGTATATGTAAAAAGCTCCGTCTGCTTTAGTTACTACCACATGCTTCAGAGCTCGCATAAGGGTGTTATTTAAATGACCTGCCTCAAAAGCCGCGCAATCAGTACTGCTCTCTAACAGTGTGCAAAAGGATGGAGGCGAACGGTTCTGGCAGTGAGCAAGATCAAGTGGAAATATCTCCTTCCTTCACACAATCCGTTCGAGAGGACTTTATATACGATATTGACCACAGGGTTGGTCTAGACCGTGGGGCTCTCACTTTTGTTATTCTTTAAACGCCAATCGCTATTCGAGCTTCGCCAAAGCCGGCTATGTCTTTTTCATGATCAACAATTGGGATTCTGGTTCATTATCTCCGGCTGTTGCGCTTTTAATGCCATTCAGTATCTTTTGGTCATCGATCAGCAGTTGTTTTTTTAATTTAACGGTCCCTCATACCACTTTGGAGCGAGGTCATTTCACGAGAAATGCAGAAAGGGCTCAGACCACAGAGTATAGCATGCTGGGTTGGTATATTTTAGGGCCTGTCATACGTTGGGTACATTGGGGTCACGTCTGGAAAAGTAGTATTAAGTTGTCTGCAATATCTAGATCTTAATTGTAGCAACTCCCACGATTCGCTTACCTGTCAATCTTCTTGGGTCCTACAATAGTTTACTCCAGTCTTGAAGTCTTCTATGGGACGCCGCATCTTTTCAAAGAATTTTCGAGCCATAACATTATCGGTGCCACTTTCTTACTTTTTTTTCTATCTGTACTAGTTCTTGAACGTCGATGGTGGCAGCTTTTAGACTTACGAGGAAATCAACCACGCGGGACCGTACAGTTCAAGTTGAAGCTCTTAAATTATGCCCGTAAATCATGGCAACGGCGCAGGCATGGTCATGAAAAGCACGGCCTCTCACTCGAAGTTTATTTGTATGATTTGCTCTTCGGGAACTGTGATTTGTGATATGGTGGGTCTCGAACTCACCTTTGCTCGAGGTAGTTGTGAATTCAGTTTGATTAATTAACTAACTTAGAAATTAATCAATCGAATTAAGCAAAATAATAATTGATTGACTAGTCGTAATAGTTTCAATTAATCAGCTCTTTCGACTATTCTTTGGCTGCACGTCTCTACCATAAATTGTAAATCTAGTACACCGTTATTGTGAGATTTTTCGCGTTGAGAAAAAATCACTTTGCAATTATTTTCAGGGCAATTCTCATACTAGAATGTACGACTCAAATAATTATTTATTGCCACATTCGAATTATTATTAAAAAAATGATTTTAGTAAACCTGCACACCCACACACACACTAGCCAACTATGCATGCCCCACAGCCTATTCGATTTCTTAATTGGGTTCAAAATTATTCTAACCTTTATTGATATTTCCTTTCCAAAACTTGAAAGAGTAAGAACTTTTTGTTACATTTTTCGGCTTGTAGTTGTTTTTCTACCGCTTGGCCGCTGGATATTTGTCATACTAAAAGTGGGTAGTTAGTAGGTGCAAATTTAATCGTGTATCAGACTGGCTCCGACGGCTTATGGCTTAAGCAACCAAACTTACCAACAAGCGTACTCCCACCACGCCCGCAGGCGTAACCGCACAAGGCGACGAAAAATGTTAAGCGCTTTGCAGATTAAACCACAAATATTTACTGTGTGGCATGCAACACACAGATTTTTTTTTTTGCTTAAGAATAAAAATCGTTGTGAAAAGGTTCTATGAAATTAATGCCCGCTAAAGTCGTCTGGCTGGGCAAATTTTTATAATTGCAATAAAATATATGCTGGAGCACGAAGTAAGTCGGGCTGCTGCGCTTGAGTAAACGGTGGGCTGTGGGGACAATAAAACCAAGTACATAACCGTTAAATGAATTGGCTATTAGATTACACAATCGCGGCAAATGCCACAAGCACAACAGTGGTTATAGTGAGCGCCCGATTGCCGCATGCGCGTATTGCCACTGTGTCATGTTGCGGCCATTTATCTCTGAAAAGCGACATACAAATATGCGCGCACATGTGTATATGTGTATATATATATATGCTTTAAAGCTCACCAGCAACAAGTCCGGCGCAATGCGACAATTGGCGCTGCGACAACGCGGCAGTAATATTTCTTTGCCATGCTGCTGGTGCGCCTGATTTGACACCTTGTTTGCACAGGAGCCACTATGAGTGGAGCGGGTGGCGCGCATGTGCACGGCAAACTATTTGTTCGACGCTTGCAACCGTTTAATCACAAGCGCGCTGCACTAGCGTACACCAGGCGCACGCTAAATGATCAAGCGCAATCATATGTCTCAACGCTGTCGAATGCTGGTGCTCGCTTAATCGGTGCCATTTCCTATGCCAGCGGCGCTGGGACCGTTAATGAAGGCGATTGTCGAACAGTCCCGTCGCTGCACTGAAGGCTATTTGGTTGATTTATACGTTGTCGATATGCGTCGTTTGGTTCAAGGATCACTTTTATAGCGCAGTTATTCATTAGCGTTGTTGAGGGGCTCGCGCTACCGCAAGCAAGCTTTTTGATTTATCGTTCGCAATTTGACTTTAAATTTTATATTATTAATTTTTTTTTATTTTCCTTACAGTTTCCTCGTCACAGCTGATTGTGCATAGTTCACGCGTCTTGACCCCGAAACGACATCACAGCGAAAGCGTTCTATATCTGCATGACGAACAACAGCAGCCATCGCCGCAGCAGCACTCGCCAGGTTCTGCATCTGCCTCGCAACAGAATTCGCCTAACGCGCAAATATCCGCCACGAAACAAATTAGTCCAACACTGTCTACGCGCGAAGGCGCACATTCGCCAACGCGACTGATGTTGCCTAACCATCGGCACAGTCCAAGCTATCCGCCTGTGCACGCTACTGCCGCCATGCATCCCTATCAGCCACACCCACAATACGCGTTGCGGCAGCAATCACAATCGCTGGCGCATAAATTACTCAGCGCTTCACCGCAAATGGAGAGCGCACCCGCCGCAACAAGTTCCTTAAGCAAGTGCAGCAGCGCTGTTGACAGTTGCCCTCTAAACAGTTCAAGAGCGACGCCCCCGCTACCCTCAGTGCCAGCTGGGGAGCCGAAACCGGAAACAGCAACAGCGTCAGCACTAAACTCAAGCATATCTGTGAATACAATGCAAGCGCATGAAACGGAGTTGCTCAGCGCGCCCGTCACGCAAACACCTGCCATAACGCCTAAGGTTGCCAGCGTTAGCAGTGTAGCGAACGCCATAGTTGAAGTAATTGCGGTTGGCACTGCGGGCTCAATGCATTCGCCGGGTAGCACCAACTCTCAGCTCAACGCTTCTACAACTTCTTTGGCGTCCGCTGTATCGGCAGCTGCCGCGCTGCCTACACAATCTTATCGCAGCAACCATCGGCTCTTTCCTGTCAGCACCTACACCGAGAAAGTGCATAGCAACACCTCGCAATTTGTGTTACACCCGAAACCGCAGTATAGCGCGGGCTTACAGAAGCCCAAACAGCAACAACAGCAGCAGCAGCAGACGCAGGCACAAAAGCAAGCGTTGCAGTTGCCGTTGTCCGCGGCGCAGGCAGCGAAGTAAGTTTACGAAGAAATTCTTCGAGCATCAAGCTTATCTTTAATAACCTTCTCTATCAATTTCCATAGATTCATGGTGTCATCGCCTAGTAGTCCACCGCAGCCCAGCTGGCAGACCGTCGCCGAGCTAATTAACGACTTCGAGCGCACCAATAACGAGCCGCAGCCGCAGAAGTACACTTACATGGATCCGAGTAAGACGCACCGTGTATCTAATCCGGCGCTGAAGGCTTTTCAAAAAAATGCAGTGCAGTCGTATTTTGAACGGCAACAGCAGCAACAACAACAACAACAACAAAATGCCAAAGAACAAGGACAGGCGCAGAAAATCTATCAGCCACTTAACGCGCATTCCCAGCAGCAATCACCGCAACTGCAACAACAACACTCGCCATCACAATCATCCATGCACCAAATGGCAGCTGCTCCAGCCTCAGCGCATCAACAGCTTTTACGTCCGCATTCCTATCAGTCCAACTTGAAAGAGGCCGCCAACGCTGCGCAACAACAACAAGTAATGCGCAGTTCACTGCCAAACTCTTACATTCTCCAGCAGTCTGCGTCTTCGCCACAGCAGCTACCCATCCGCTTGAGTGACCCACCACCACCGCCGCCGCCTCAGAAGCCTACCAGCCTGAGCAACCTTAACAACGCAGCGCAAGGTGAACGCGCGTCTTTCGCCATTGGCACATCCAGCAGTTACAGTGCTTTACCTAAAGCGCCTTCACCTGCCCCACCACCACCGCCGCCTCGTTCACGCTCACTAATGCCACACACGCTGTTGCGACGCTCTTCCTCCGCCTCGGACTATGCAGAATTTCGCGATCAATACACGCGCGCAACACAAGAGAAGCTCGTGGCGCAATCTGTTAAGAATATTTCGAGTTCTGAGAAGTCCTCGTTCAACGATTGTGGCATGCCACCACCGCCGCCGCCACCACGGGGCGCTCGTCCAACTAATATATTGCCAACACGTCGCACATCTTCGGCCGCCGAGTACGCAGCTGCTATGCGTGAGAAAGCTTTGTTGCAACAGGCGGCTGCGTTGGCACACCAACAACATCATCCGCATCAGCACGCGCGCACGCCAAACTATGCACAACAGTACTACAATCCACCACAGCCGTTGGCGGCCAGCGCTATAGAACCCGGCTGGGTACCTGAACGGCCGCCAAAGAATCCCAATCTACGCGTGCCTTCGCCCGATTTGCCACCGTTACCACCCAGCGCGGACTTAGACACGCAACTAGCCGACGAACCGTTGCCACCGCCACCACCTGAATTGCTACAACAACAACGTCAGCAATACCAGCAACAACAGCAGCAGCAACAAAAACAACTCCAACAATACTACGATTTGAATTCTTCACTGGGCCACAACAGCGAGCTGCTGCCTAAAGCTCCGTCACCAAATCGTCGCAACAGTTTTGCCGGCTCATCAACGCGCAAGCCCTCCACATACTTCAGTCGGTCGGGCTCTGAAATGATGTCCGCCACCAAAGTGCCACCGCTCATACCGAAAAAACCGAGCAACATTGAGACATTGCATGCGGTGCGACAACATCAGCAGCAGCAACAACAACAACAACAACAACATGCGCAACAGCTTACGGCTAAATTATTGCTGAATGGTGGCTTGCCACAGCCACAACAACATTCGCCACCAGCGCCGCCACCGCAAACACTGTCTGCCATTGGTAGCGCGTCTCGTGAAGCCAAGCTGTCAACTAACCGCAAGCGACCGCATAATCCCGCGGTGAGCGGCTTTAATGTACCGCCGCCGATCTTGGAAAATGTGCCGCAGCTCCAACAACACCAACAGCAGTCACAACATTCACCTCAAACAGTACCCAGCAGTAAATCGCCGCCGAACACAAATGTCACAATGAAGACCTCACCGCCGCCGCCGCCCTTGTTGCCGCGTTGCATGCCGAATCAGACGTTAGTGGGAAGCAACAACCATAACAACAAAACAAGGTAAGCTTAACAGTCATTTACATACTATTTTGTTGGGCGGGGTAAAAAGGTGAATACAGAAGAAAAGAGACGGTTGTCACTTGTAAATAAAAGTTGTACGCCTGTCCACATGAGTGGGTAGAACCTTCAGCCTTTCGTGCGCTTTCTGACTCTGCAGTGGAAACAAAAACTGGTATCCGATGGACTTCTTTGGTGGCTCGACCTCGTAACTGGGGTTGCTCCGAAACATCGGAGCTCGTGTTTTCAGCTCTAGAGTTTCTATCATTCCAGTGTAATCTTAGTATCTGGACATACTTCACCCTCAATACTAACTACCGGTAATTAAACTAACCTAATCGCTTCGATTAAACTTTCTTTTGCTGCTTTAACACCTAAATCCGTATTTTGCCCTCATTCCTTTCCCGCCGGGGTTTTCAACTTGTAATAATCTTAGACTTTTTGATCCAAAACAAAGATGAAGCCGTAAATTAGAATGTAGCCCAGGTATGAGGGCGTTGTGGAAGGGAACCCAGTTCAAATGATGTACTCTTCAGAAGAAATTACTCCTCTCATCCTCTTCTTTATGAGACTCTTAATGACTGACACTGAGCTGCGAGTCTCAGTCAATTCTCATGGTATTGGGTATCACTTTGGCGAAGATCGAGGTCTAGGTGGTTGAAATTCTACTTCTTTAATGGCGTAGAAAACCGCTGACGATTACGATTAAAGTTATCTTTCCAAAGGAGTGGAGGTCTTACTCTTTCTCTGCTTCCACCGGTGGCTAGCAAAAGAGTGCTATCGAACCCAGGCGGTTATCCCATTTCATTGGAGCTGGTTTCTATGCAGCGGGTTGCCAACCTATCACACAACTACGCTAGGCACCTAAAACGCTTTCAACTGTGCGCTAAAGTTAGAGTCCTGTACGAGCTCATTGCGAAATTCGCCTTAAAATGTCTTGAATGCTGCGTGAGAACCCTTTTTGGAAGCGCCTAAGCCAGCCCAGCGCATGTGAGTTGCTATCAACACACTGTCAAAACTGCAGCGCGATTGCAAAAGCGCCTGCGTTTGACATGTCGGTTAGAGGTAGTCATGTGATAGCAGCCACCGCGTGATGTGAATTTCACCGGCTAGTGGCATGATTCAGAATAAACGCAACTTATCAGTGTGTCTTTCAATGAGACAAGCACCTCTGTAGAGTGGAAGGTGACACGAATGTATGTTTGTGTATTCGAAACTGCTAGCCGGGCGGTCGTCAGCCGCATATTCTCTCATAAATTTCATACCGATTCCGCATGCCGTTTGAGGTCAAAGTGGCTGTTAGCAGCTAATACCTGCGTGCGCGCCTACGTCAGCAGACAGCGTTCAAACAATCGGCACAGCAATAACAGCAGCTATCAAAACATGCTGTCGATTTACGCTTGGTATGCGCTGTTCTTGGTCTTTTGCTATTTTTCCCCCAACGTTTTTCTTTCTTTCTCTCCTTTTTTTTTGTTTTTGCTCTTGCATAAGTCACCCAACCGCTCGCTGGCAGCAATGCGGACATACTGCAATGAAATCGCTACATTCGCATTTTATTGACAGGAATGTGAGTGTGAGTATGTGTGCGCCTGCGCATGCAAGCAACCACTGCTATCAGCAGCGCGGCGCAGCCGCTCGAATGGCAGCAGCCTTCACTCAGCCTGCGCACAAACATCGGAATTTGGTATTTGGTTCAGTTCAAGTCATGCCACACCGGTTCAGGCGTACAATGATTTGCAACTGCCAAAGACCCACCACCGGGCTGCCAATAATGTGCGCGTAAAATATTTACAATCTCAGGTCGCCAGCGTCTGTTTGCGCGTTGGTGTTACATTTTTATGTTTGCGCGTTCCCAACAAGCATTGGCAAGGTTTCTTGATTCGGTTTTTTCGAAAAATATGTGGTTCTTCAATTGATAATCCGTACGATTTGCGGGAACTGGCTTATTTCGAGAGCACTTTTCCCCAAAGTCTTTGAGCTGTTGTGAAGTCTCGTGAAACTGATGTGATATACTCGAAGGCATTTGAGAAAACTATCATTCTCCAGTTGTTGTGCAACATCAGACTGGAACGAACCACGCTTTTCTTAACCTGAGTTCCAGAGTATTAGCAAGCTGAGAATTATAATTTTCTCAAGTGGAAAACTACACTTTTCTTTAGTTGTTGTTAAGGCTTACTTGCTCAAGTTGAGTATACCAAAATTCTCAACTTGAGGTGAGAAACTATGTTTGAGAATTAGTTTTATTCTCAACTCGGGTTGATTTCAATTAAATGTTTATTGGGTTACAATTTGCATTCGCTGCATATTTTTCCATATGAAATATAAAATCCCATTTCTTTCATTCATTTCTAGTATTATATATTTATATATTACATTCGGTTGTGCTATGTGCGGAGTGTGTATTAAGTTTGTTCGGCTAACGGTTGTTTGTAGAGACATGAAATAATCGAAGTAGGTATGGACATATGCATATCAAACTTCATGGAATTACAAGATGAATCGATTTAGTCATGTCAGTTTATCCGTCCACTCATGTACACGATAATCGAAGTACGAATTGATATACCAGGCGTCTATCTAAGCGCGATACTTTAGTACATAATACAAACGGTTTTCATATGTAGTCATAACTAATCCCTATATAGCTGAGGAGGCATGGTATCAATTTATTCATACCTTCCTAGTTTCTCGCCAACCTCTTCATTCACTACTTCACCTCATCTCTCCCATCTACCTCCTCCTTCTTTACCACATCGTCGATTTAAAAGCTTCTCCCACCCATGTGTAGCTTCAGGGCGGTGAAAAAAGTTAGTAAACTGAATATGCTAAATCAAGGCAATGATCGGAATGGTTCAGGACACTCAAATGAGGCGAGCAGTTCCTTCGTGTCATTGGCCGTATGTGGTGTGAAATAGTCATGCAGCAGGTAGACTCCATATGTCAGCATGCCACTCTTCTTGTTCTCAATGAGCCGCCACAATTTTTTTAGGGTGCTACAGTAACTTGCAGAGTTGGTGGTTTCTCCTTTTGAGGCAGATAATCGATGAAACGGCGGCTTTCCCTTCCAAACAAGATAAAGTATAGCGCCGTGTATTTCCCACTTGACGGGAGACTGCATTAACATTATTCACGAAACATATTGTCCGATCACGAATCGGTCTCGTTGCAAAGGAGAGAAGTCCGTCTACATCACCGCGTTGCCAACTTGAAGAAAATAAAATCCCCCCGGTCGTGAGAGCATCAGTATACTCTTTTTTTGTTGAAACTTGGTTCTTATATTCCTTGATACACAAGTACCGAGTGAAATCGTGATATCTTCCCATATAACGGTAATTTTGAAATATTGAATAACGGTGTAACCATGTAACTAAATGAGCAATGAAAGTAATATCAGTCAGGGACGATTACAGCAAATGGAAAATATGTGGGCGTGGCAAAAATCATTTTCGATCAAAAAATATATCTCAGTAACTGCTGAACAGAATTCGATATTCAATATAAGTATTAACCGGGTATATGATATCCCGTTCCAACCGAACTTTAGTCTTCCTTATATGTTTTTTATATTTTTTTTAATTACACACAAGTAAATGTCTTCAATTTCTCGTCGTCTATTTGCTTTTTTTTTATTTCGCCTGATTTGTCCTTTTCTTGAGTATTTTTTTCTTTTTTTTTTTTCATTTTACACTTTCAATTTGAATTTATCGTTGAGCTTTGGAATTTCCTATAAAGAGTCTCGTAATGAAATACTTACACATCCGTTAATATATATAAATTGAAGTAATTGTCAACAACAATATATACACATGTATGTGGGCTTGCAACTTTTTCTGACGAAGGTCTTTTTTAACTTTAGAACCACCAACGTGTTTGTGACTCAGTCTGCAGAATAACATTTAATCGTATCGAATTTTAACGGTAACATTTGTAAATATAAGCGAAAAAGGGCAGTTACAGTGCCCAGTGCGTAGGTATTTAGGTCAAGTGGCTGGCTGTCGCTTGGAATTTAGTGCCCATGTCTGATAAGCAGGCGATTTGTTGGTGAATTATGAGATGAATAAGCGCGTAAGAAAACGGGAGGCAGTATATAATGGTGTGTGTGAAGTATCAGTTTATTGCTTTGAAGGAAAAATGTTTGCTCAAAAGCTTTCTGAATACTCAATAGTTCTCTTCGATATTCTCTTGGCAATAAATCTGATATAATTTCAGTTTCTCCTTATGCGCCTTTTCTTCATTCACACTGAGTTTTTTACTACTGTTTTCTGGGCATGCCGATGAGAGTGCTTCGACAAAAGGCTACTCATTGACCAATTCTCTTGCTCAATTGTATAATGCCTTTCATAAGCTGGTAAGTTGGGTTCCAATAAAATGACTCAGTTGCGGAATGAGCTCGTCTCTTTACTTATTTTAGTTTGTTCAGTGCCAACATCTCACAAACCCTAAAGGAACCTGTAGGAAATATACTACGGTCAGCAATATATAATTGATCCCAACTGCGTGAGGTGGCATATGCAACCCAAAGTCTTCCTCAAGCGGGATAGCTCAACTTAATCTCTTCGTACTTTAAAGAAGTCCAGCAGGCAGAATTTTCAACTGATTGTCAATTGTTTCTAGTAAGTATCAAATTTGGCCCGTAAATGTGGGCTGGGTCAGAAGAACTGTTTTCTTACGATGTACTGAGGAACACTCCGTACTGGCAATTTAGTAGTCTCTTTGTTACCCAGAATGCGACCTCTCAAATGATTTATGCTACCCAGATTTCAATATTCCGGTACTCGAATTAGTCGAATATTTTCCAATATTCATATTTAAACATAGAATTAGTTTAGGTTAGGCTAGCTTGCAACGGCTGGCTGCTACGTTCTACATAGAGATGTTGGAATTTTGGAACTTAATATTCAATTTTGAAACTTTCTTTTGGTTATCTGGGTAGTGAAACCTCTAAACGTCCAAGACTTGCTCTAGATATGATCAGACAGAAGCAGAGCAGATGTTTCAATTGC